TCTCCGTAAAGCCCATTATTTCTAGTCTCGCCGCGTCTTCTCTTCCACGTAGCACTTCACTTTTTCTCTCCTTTTGTTTCCTTTGGAACACAAACGTTTCTATTTATAGGAATAATTACGTCGTCCGTATCTGTGTCGGAACATAGATCCAAATTAAAAGCAACTTACTTAATTACATATCGTTCGTGTTTTTTTCTTCAAAAAATGGCGTCAAAGCAACTGAGCAGAGAAGAGCTTGATGAGAAGGCGAAGCAAGGAGAGACCGTCGTCCCAGGTGGCACCGGTGGCCACAGCCTCGAAGCTCAAGAGCATCTTGCTGAAGGTATTGCCGTAAATTACAACTTTTCCACACTCTTTTTATTTTCTTTAGTTCGTAAGTAATGGTTTTATAAGGCTAGAAACATTAGATCTTAATATCTTAAGATAAGATTAATCTACTTATTACGAACCTAAAGTTTACTCTATGATCTCCATGTTTCATGGAATGCATGTATGTACACTTGTTAGGAAGGAGCAAGGGAGGGCAGACGAGGAAGGAGCAGCTAGGACATGAAGGTTATCAGGAGATCGGTCACAAAGGTGGAGAGGCGAGGAAGGAGCAGTTAGGGCACGAGGGTTATCAGGAGATGGGTCACAAAGGTGGAGAGGCGAGGAAGGAGCAGCTAGGGCACGAGGGTTATCAGGAGATGGGACACAAAGGAGGAGAGGCGAGGAAGGAGCAGCTAGGGCACGAGGGTTATAAGGAGATGGGACGTAAAGGAGGACTCAGTACGATGGAAAAATCTGGTGGAGAGCGTGCGGAGGAAGAAGGGATTGAGATCGATGAGTCAAAGTTCACCAACAAGTGATAGTAGTTACGAGCTACTAGTGTCCGCTGCAACAGTCTGTTATATATCATCTAATAAGTAACCTGCTTGTAGGTTCCGTGTTTGGCAGCGTGGATTTTAACTAGGGTCTAATGTAGCGCGTTTAGGTTTTTTGTGTTTTATATGTGTGTGATATAACTATGTATGGCTTGTACTAACGGCAGTGTTGTACCGTTCAAATGGTATGCGGTTATGTTATGTAATGCGGTTGCCGGTTGGTTTTACTTCGTGTCTTACTTGTGATAGTATGTTGTGTCCAACAACGTGAGACTTGATATGTTAAGATTGCAGCATATCAAATGGCTGTAGAATAGAAAAAAATCAGGTAGTAATAACACAGTTTCAAGTTGTTAAATAACATATGTATAGTCTAGTCTTTGTAGTTTCTCAAATTAATTGTATGAAGTTAGTTGGGTTACTAGCTAGTTGTTAGATTTAGATTATAAAAAGTTTGAGGAAGTATCATTTTTGTATATTACTGTTTTTATGTGGATACATGTTTAGAATCAATACAAAAAGTGATGAAAATAGTTTAAATCCACTACAGAAAACAAAAACATTCTGAAAGCAGAGAAGTGACAGAACTAACATAAACCCCAATCCTCGATATGAGCAGGAAATGCAAAAATGGAGCGCAAATACGGTAACATCAATTACAATTTCTCAGCCGTTTTGCTAAATTGATACAACAGGAGTTGTTTCTAGTAATAACGGTACATACATTTTACAAAATCTTTTAAACTAGTTGATGCCATCACTTGCCCACATTTGATGTGTCAACACCTCTGCTTTCGACAAAACCCCATCAAAATACGCCTTTTTCAGTGTTGCGATGCTAATGCCGTTACAAATATTCCGAGCACCAAGAATGGCTGCGCGCTTGCCTGTAATCAAGATGAGTGTTTCAAGCAACTTCTGATTAAGAGACCTCTCAAAGATATTTCAAAAGAACACAAACATGTGTACTAAGTTGACTTACCTGGTACTTGACGTCGTATTTGACAGGGTCCTTGAGAAAGTATTTAAACTGCAGTTTATAGAAGCGAGTGTAGCAATCAGACGAGTGACAAGAATTTGATTAATTATAATGTGAGACTGTTAACGTCTTTACCTGGAACACAATCTGAGGAATGATCAAAGCAACCAACGCCAACGCATAATAAGGTTTCCCAGATGCTAATAGATATCCTGCAACCAAAATAGACATATACTAATGATGATCTCTACCTTTGATTTGGTTCTATAACAATGATTGTGTAACTCATCCACTAGTAAAAGTACAAATGAAGATATAAGTTCTGTTATTTCATGACACTGTTGAAAATACTTGTTTTAGAAGCATGAAATGAAAATCCATCAATCACACTAATGAAACATAAAAGTAGATGCCTCCTCTTCATTAGCTCATTTCATTAGAATGTACTTTTATGTTTTGCCTTTGTTGATTCAGCTTCATTAATTTGTGCTTTACCATTGGTGAATATCCAGTTGATAAGATCAAGGAAAAGAAATAGAAGCCACAGCTGCACAAAAACAGTGGATAGTACATACCGGCAACAGAAAGCTGAGTAATGTCTATAGCACCAACGCATATCCATTTTGCAGTTTCGGTGCCAAAAGCTACTGGGAGAGACTGAAGTCCTAATGCTCTATCTCCTTCAACACTTTTGAAGTCGTTAACAATGGCTATTCCTAACTGCATTATCACAAAGGTACAACATGAAGCAAGAGCATATTACAACAGATAACGAAAAAAGCAACATAAAAGGTTTGCCAAAAGAGTACCCCAGCTATGCTGTACAAGAGTGTTAGAACAACAACATCTGGCGTAAGAGTGCCAAACAATGCTTGGCCAGCCCACCTATCAGTCAAGTGAGCAAGAAACAAATCAATGAGATGAGAACAACGCCATATATTATTGATACACGAGATATCTTACCATGGCAAACTAATATAGCTTGCTCCAAGTGCAAAATTTCCAACCCATCCATTTTGTTTTAGCTGCAATGAGATCAGTTCAGATATCGATATTCAAAACTCCAAAACTTGGATGGAGTGTCTTATCACTAGAGAGTGGAAGTTAGGAATAAAACTTACCTTAAGAGGTGGAGCAGAGTATATATAAGATAGCAATGATCCTCCCAAAGCAAGATAGAAGACAGTGGGAGTGGTATGCCCTGCCTGATAAGGGAAGATTTTAGCAAATCTGATGTGCCCTTTAACTGTACTAGTTAATGTCAGAAGGGCCAACTTACCCACACATCTAATATTCCAGCAATACCAAGACCTCCCAATAATAGCACCCAGACTTGTGTAATAACCTGCATTTTAAGGAGTAAGGAGAAATCAGAATCACAAAAGAGATAAAAGCTCACAATGTTCTGTCTCAGTTACCTCTGGCTCTGATATTGCTCCAGATGGAATTGGACGATATGGCTCATTAATTGCGTCGATATCTCTATCATACCAGTCGTTGATTGTCTGGAAATCGACAAGTCTAGGTTATTGTAGCACCAAGCAAATGCACTAGAATAAGAACAAGTCAGCTTTTTGTTGTGTAAAACCAGACCTGTGTATAGCCAGTAAGACAAGGACCAGACATCATCATGCAAAGAATCGACTTAGCAACATCCTCTGGGGTCCAATGAAAGTTCCCTGCCAGAAGAAACAATTGGAAGGAAAATGAAAAAACTTTCTGTACAGTATTGCATGATCCAAAAGAGGTTCGTATGATTACCTGAAGCAGCAGCACCACAGACGACTCCCCAAACCAGTGGAGGCCAAGTGACTGGTTTTGTAAGCTGAAGACGAATCTTCCATTTATTCTGAATACAGAATATAACAACAAACTCTTTTTAGCTAACAAACAACATTTTCACATCATTTCTAAGCTAAAAACAAGACTTGTCCTCAAAAGAGATTACCTTTAGTAGGAAAATTCCTAAACTAACACATCATTATCCACAAATATGATAATTTAAAAGATTCTGAGGAGATGAACAAAATTACAGTTTCTTGAGATGCTCCTTTGATACCGAGAAGCTGGTTAATGCTTGAACCACCGGCTGGTGCCTTGTCAGGTGTCTGAGATTTAACTGCCGTCGGAAATTCAAACGCCACAGTGTTTGAAAAGAGAATTTTGAAGAGAGAGAAAATAAAAACAACTAAAAAATCATACCTTTATCAGTATCAGTCTCCGCCGCACGCACAACAAATCTCCGCCCTACGAGAGATCCACAACAAGATCAGTAAAAAAAAAATCGAAGAAAACATTCATCAATCTATCCAACAGAATGCTAACTACCGGGTGATTCGTAGATCAACGTCGAGAAACCAGAACGCCGGCGAGTGAACTCAACGGAATCCGAATTCCGAAGAGAGAGGACTCCGACTCGATCGACGGAGGTAACTCTGGAAGAGTGGATGGTGGAGACAGTGTTGAGAATCGAAGTCATAGAACCGACGGAAGAGAGAATCGTCTCTGGTGGTAGTTAAGCCGGAGACTGGAGTGGTGTGAGTCTGTGAGTTGCTGTTTCGGGAAACGAGTGGTTGTCCGTTACCGGAGATAAGTAATGTCTACGTTACAGTTTTGGCGGCCTTTGATTCAATAACTGCCATGTGGCACGATCCTCTTGGCAATACTAGTTGTGTCGGATGTTAGTTTTGTTGGACAAAGGACCTTCATTGAAGCAGAATGGGCCCGGTTTAAATCCAAAGCCCAAACAAAACCCATTAGGGTTTCATTGAAGCAGAATGGGCCCAGTTTAAATCGAAAACCCAAATAAAGCCCAAAAAAATAAATCTAATATTAATATGGGATGATATATACCGGGTGAAATCATAAAATTTAACAATAAAAATACAAATACACAATTTTAAAAGCTAACCAAAACTAACAATATTAACAAAATAAATATAATTTCAAATTTCAAATCTTTTAATTATAAAATCATCCCGAATTGTATCATACATTAAATAATCAATAACATATATCTATAGTTGCTCAATACCTTCGGGGATTACTCTATTACATAAGTCGTCTTGATTGAATAAATTTCCTGATGTCTAGTTTTCCTACTGTGGAAATCCTATTTAGAGTAGACTCACTTCAATGAAAGCTATTACTTCTTTATTAATGACTATTAACTATTATAAGATATTAAGACAAAAAGAATAATAAATCTAACAAAGGGATTATGATACATCTAGTTGTAGTTGATATCTTAAAAACAAAAAATTCATGTATTTGATAAAAATATAAGCCCCTGATATATCTTTTAATATATATCCTATAAATATAATATTAACTGAAATAATTTTTTTAACTTTCTAATAAAAATATCAACCTTCAGTCTCTTCATGTTCCCTCAAGGCAAAATTACCTTCAAGTCTCTATTTTTACTACATGTGGAACAATCAAATCAAGGAAGAGTCGGTAGGTGATGGAGATTCGCTTTAAATGTCTACGTAACAGTTTTGGTGGCCTTTGATTTAACTACTGTAACAATTTGTCCGGACGAAAGACTATTGGGCACAGTTTAAATTTCAGGCCCAAAGAAGCCCACTAGTATCCGGTTGAGAGACACGTGGCAACAGTCAACTTTGAAGAAAAATAATGAACAATCATTGACATTTTTTTTTGTTTCTCCTGATCCAGTTCTTAATTGAACAAACTCCAACAGCATCATCATCATCATCATCCTTCAAATTATTTTTCCTATTTTGAAAAATTTATTTGAAATCTCATAATTTACGTTAATGGAGATTGCTCCATCTACAAGTAGATTCAAGCTCTACGATCAATTCGAGCTTCTGGAGTTTCCTGACAAGTACGTCGTCAAACCCATCGAATCGCCTGAGGAAGGCTTCTCCGTCAATCGGCGCGATGGCAATATCAAACCTCTTGATGGTAATCCACTCTTCATTCTCAGCTCTCTCCCTTCCCTGTTTTGGTTTCAAGACAAAATTTGGCAAGAGATGATATGAAGCAAGAGTATTAGGCTGTTGTAGTGTATTTGATGTTACTGTTTCTTTGTTACTGCAGAAAACGCATCTTCTGGGAGTCCTACTAGAGTCTCTACTATCTATGGCGTAGGAGGAACTATTAGGCTCTTAGCAGGTGGAAAATGTTTTTCAACATTTCTCTATGTACTGTGTTGGGATCCAACAGTGATTTTTATATGCTGGTTTCGATTTCATTCATATATAGGAACATACTTGCTAGTTATAACGTCTCGGGAGGAAGTTGGAAATTTTCTCGGTTTACCGATTTTTAGAGTTACGGCTATGAAATTCTTACCTTGCAATGAGGCTTTGAGGTTTGCTACTGCTCAAGAAGTAAGGTTATTGTGAATTTCAATCGATATACGATTTTGTAGGGGTTTTGGAGTTTATGAACAAGTTAAGTTGTCTAAAGAACTTGGTCACTGGCTTTTGCAGAAAAAGGACGAAACATATTTTAGGACTCTGTTACAAGCACTTGAGACAACCCCTGGATTGTATTTTTCGTATGAAACAGATCTAACATTGAAGTAAGTTTCACTATCTCATGATATTAAGAGTTTTAAGTAGTTCCGCGGCTTGAGTTAGATACATTCATCCAATTTTACAGTCTTCAAAGAAGGTGCAAGCTAGCTGAAGGTTGGAATCGTAAGCCTATGTGGAAGCAGGTTGTTTATTCGTATGATTTTTTATCTTTAAAAAAAGTATCTTCTTTGGATCCAGTGTCTGAATTTAAGTTCATCGCGTTAAAGTTAGGCTGAAGGTTTATTTGCTTGTCAGGCTGACCCTCGATATGTTTGGAACTGGCATCTTTTGGAGGACTTAATTGAATGCAAAGTAAGTTGTGTGGTTTAAATTTAATTGATTTTCATTCCTTGTCAAACGTTAATGATCTAACCTTCTCTTATTGTGGCAGCTGGATGGTTTTATTATTCCTATACTTCAAGGAAATATCCTTTTCTTTATCTTCTTAATCTTCTGTTTAGCTTGTTCTTGGACTGTTTATAGATGTAATGTTGCGTTTTTCAAATATGCTTTTTAATAGACAGTACTCCAATACATGTTGTTTGATATTAACCAAGGCTTAAGTTACCAAGTTGCTGAGCTAAAGCTCAAGAATTCTCCTGCTGTGGTATCGATAATGTCCAGGCGCTGTACACGACGTCTAGGTAGGGTTTAATTAGTTCTGCCAGAAAATTCAGTGGCATCCATGTTTGTTTGACAGTCTTATTGGAATTGGCATCCCAGGTACACGTATGTGGAGAAGAGGAGCCAATCTTGAAGGGGACGCTGCTAATTTTGTCGAATCTGAACAAATAGTGGAGATTAATGGTTTCAAGTTCTCATTATTGCAGGTATATCCTTGTTAGGATCTCATTCATGTGCAGTGTCTTCTTAAAATGATAGTTTCATGCTTCGATACTGGTTTATTTGCAGTAGCTGTGGAATTATATTTATTGATGATATGAAATGCTGTGTGGGGTTTCTTTCATAGCCCTGGAAAACTAATATCCTATGTAACTCATTTCAGCTGAATGGTTACACTGTTTTTTTAAAAATTTGATATGCTTGAAAATGCACTGTTTCATTATTTGGGTTCTTCATCTCTCAACTTAGTTTATTATACCTTGCTTTTCTCTTTCTCTGTGTTTAAGGTTCCCTTTCATTTCTTGCGATTGTAACTGTCTTGCTTTCACTGACTAGGTTCGAGGTTCAATCCCACTTCTTTGGGAGCAGATCGTTGATTTGAGTTATAAGCCACGGCTTAAGATAAATAAGCATGAAGAGACGGTACCTTTTTATGATTTTCTTACTAGATTAATTATATGATGTCCAGCACTCAATCTTAATAAGCTAAATTTCTGCCTCCAGCCAAAAGTTGTACAGCGCCATTTCCATGATCTTTGCCAAAGATATGGAGAAATTATGGCAGTTGACCTAACAGATCAGGTTAATTTCTTTGTTCCCCATTCCTGAAAACAAAATTAAATGGCACTAAACATATGTGCACTTTGAAATCTATGACATCTGAACTCCACCTCTAGTACAGTTTCTGCTCTGGAATTTTCACTTACTTACTTTCATTGTATGATTAACTTTGTCTCTCACACGTGACTTATTAGCATGGAGATGAAGGTGCATTAAGCAAAGCATATGCCACCGAGATGGAGAAGCTTCCTGATGTGAGGTAAAAATCTGTATGCACATCGACGCATTTACCTTCTACCCGTCAGTCTTATCATTTCTGTATTTGGTTATCGTTCGGGATACCTCTTAGCGTACACTGTGAATTTTTGCTATTTCGTGACACTTGAACATTTTGTCGTTTGTTTGGATATCTTTTACCTTCTCTTGATTCAAATTGTTCCTCGATCGTACACATCAAATTAATGATAGTTTATGACTCAGATATGTCTCCTTTGACTTCCATCAAGTCTGTGGAACTACAAACTTCGACAACCTGGGGGTACTGTATGAGCAGATTGGGGATGAATTTGAAAAGCAAGGGTAAGAATTACGGTTTTGGTTCTACTCATTTCAGATCTAGAAACTGAGTTGATATGGTTAGCAGTCAGAGGTTGTTCGTTTGGTTTAATTTAGCTAGCGCTGCTATATAGAGAATTTTATTTCACCTGCGACTAATCCAGGCTGAGCAGATATTTCCTTGTAGACGCAGACGAGAACATCCTAGAAGAGCAGAAAGGAGTTATCAGATCTAACTGCATCGACTGTCTTGACCGCACAAATGTTACCCAGGTTTGTTGAATTATTTCTTACTCTCTTTCATTTTCATTTCTAGTAGGCATCTTGATTGGTACGGTATGTTCTATACAACTCATGGGTGATTAGGTGGGACATGTAAAGCACCGTTGGTAAATCCCCTCCATTTGTGTCATTTGAGTTTTTGGGATCTTGGTTGTGCATTTACTAAATTGTTTGCGATAAAAAATCATTGTTTACATATTTAACTTCATGAAATATTGTCTCTGGTTGCACATAACGGCTAAAATCTACTTGCTGTAGAGCCATACAAGCTTGTTAGATGGTTGAAAACTTGTACTTTTCATTGAACTGCTTCTGATTGCAGTCAATATTTTTTTTGTTGTATCATATGAAAAGAGTTTCATGGGCCAAAAAAGTCTGAATCTACAACTTCAAAGGATCGGAGTGTGCGATTCCACAGAGTGTATATCCACGTTCGAAGATGATTACACAAAGTTCAGAACAAGTAAGTGGTTGTCACCATTTTCAAAATTTCAGCGCAGGTTCCAGTTATATAGCTGTAGAATATCTTCTGGCGTACCTCAAAAATTTAATCCTTTGGGTTCACTACTAGTTTGGGCTGAGCAAGGGGACGAGGTTAGTTTGCAATATGCCGGGACATATGCTCTTAAGGGCGACCTCGTAAGGTGAGTAATCTCTGTCTGTGATCCTTCTTAAGATCATATTGATTACAGTTGGCTTACAGAGTTACAGTCTTGTGATAGTGATGATGACTTCTTTTAACCATACATCAACATTGTTAGAAGTTTCCATGCTGTTCTCTCAGACATGAATACACTTGCCATATTACTAGACTGATAACCTGTAATAACAAGCTTGAGTTCTCTGTTTACCTTGGATGCAGTTTTCTCTGAATTGGTATAGGCCTCAGCTTGAATCAATACAATAGTTTAGAAAGACCATGTAAATGATAATATTTACATATTAGCAATATACGCTATGGGGTATTTTGGTGCAGGTACGGGAAACAGACTATGACTGGAGCTATCAAAGATGGCCTCAGTGCAATGTCGAGATATTATCTGAATAATTTCCAAGATGGTGTAAGGCAGGCAAGTTTCTTCTGCAATTATAATTGAATCAGCAAATTAGAGGTGAGGTATGAAGATGAGAAACTGAAGGTAGAGAAAACAAAATTTTATTTTTCAGGATGCTTTGGACCTCATAAGTGGTCGCTACACAGTGGGCACACACAGCCCTTCACAACTCCAGCCCATTGGATCACAACCGTCTGTATGTTCCTCCTAACCGCTTAAGATTGTGTGTTTGCATTATATGTTTTCGTTTACTTAATAATTTTTTTTGTCAAATGAACCCACTACCTTAAACATACTAAAATGTTTCATTAGTTAATTGCAAACGTAAACGCCAAATGAAAATGGCGTTTGCATTTGCACTTTACTGGAAAACTGCAAATGGTAACAAACTTAGAAATTGC